CATCACAGACAACAGAAGCCTTCAGTTCTAGGACATCCAAGAGCAAGCCCAGGAGATTGCCCTGTGGACCGCTCAGGGTGCTTTGCACGGTACTGAACACCCGAGGCAAGCTGTACAAGCTGTCAGCTACTGTACAAAGTGGGACCCAGTCTTAGAGATTTAAAAAAAAAAAAAAAAAGGACAATCTGGTCTGTTTCTAGATTTAGTTTGAGAAAAACTAACTTTGGAAGGCAAACCCTCTGCTATACAGAGGAAACGACGGCCAGGGACTCTAAATGACTTTCCCGCAGTTAATGGCAAAGCCCATGAGTAGAGTAAGACACTCAACTACTTGTTGCTCTCTCTCAGCCAGTTAAAGCTGTAAAGTCTATGAAGACCTGAACTTTTTTTGAGGATAGGTCTGATATAGCCCAAGCTAGCCTCAAACTAGCTACATAGTCAAGGATAACCTTGAACTCCTTAGTCTACTTCTCAAATGTGAGATTCCAGGCACACTCCACTTTATCTAGGTAAATGTTTACAAGGTGACTTTTTCTGTTTTTTGTTTGTTTTGTTTTTTTTTTTTGCAGTGCTAGAGATAGATTTAGTCTATGGCAAATGCTCTTTGACTAAGCCACATTCCCAGCTCCAGAACCCAAACTTTCAGATAGGGTCTTACTATGTAGCCCTGGCTTCCTGGAACTTATGATGCAGATTAGGCTGGCCTTAACTCAAGTGATCCACCTGTCTGTACCTCCCAAATGCTAGGTAGGGTTAAAGGTGTACACTACCATTACTAGGGGACACTCACTCCTAATGAGCTGGAAGTAGTTTCAAGTTCTCATGAACAGCCTGGGCACAGTATTTTATCTAGTCTTCTCTGTATCTCAAACCCAGCAGCACTTCCTTTTCAAAAACCAGCTTCCTTTTCCACCTTATTCATTTCAGAACACAAGACCCTAACCCATCACCTTCCAGATCCTGGAAGCACTAACTTAAAAAACAAGGCTGGCATGTTGACGCCTCATTCCAAGTCCCCTGAGGTTCAAGAAGCCAAAAAGAAAGCCTAGTACATATGAAATGCACACGGGGTGAGAGGTTCTGTCTGGTGTATGCGAGTTCATATGCCTCAATCATAGGTCAGAGATCAAAGCTATTAACTGCATGGAAACTCACTGGAAGTGCTGGTTGTCCCACCTAAAACTGAAGTAATTTAGTCCACATCTCTTACGTCTAATGGTTTTGTAAGGTTCAAACAGTAACTTCTATTTTACTATTTCGTACTTGGTACTGGCACATGCTCGTGCTCAGCAAATATTGAGAGACAAAGAATGGGAGATATAAGGGGTGGGGATGAGGACAGAGTCCTGGTTAGCACTCCAAGCTATAGGGTTTTACTCATGTAAGTCATCCCTGTCCTGTTTGCCCCATACTTCCTAGATTAGCCCAAGAGAAAGCCACCTCCTCCTTAGAAACCACTCAGATACTGGGAACAGGGGGTCCTGCTGACTGCCAGATGTCTGGATGTGGGAGGAAATGAGGGCAAAAAGCCCAAGAGGTCAGGGATGGAAAAGTAGTCTTAAGAGGATTGGGAGACCCAAAAGCTGAGCCAAAACAAAGTCTCTGCCATACTCCCAGATCCGACCCCCCAGCCAGCCAAACTACTTGCCACAGCCTCCAGGGTATGGGAGGGAACTTGGCAAAACCACAAAGCCCATTTCTAGCAGAAACGTCCATCTGCAGCTAGAAGCAGATGAACACCCAAGCCTCTCCTCCTCACAAGCCCAGCAAGAGGCCAACAGAGCCATGATTGTGGTCTCAGAATGCAGCCCCAGGTCCGTGCACTGTGATAGACAGACGGCTCCCCCCATTCTAGCCTACACTATTTTGCTACAGTCCCTCCTCTTCTGACATCCATTCAAAAATGACTGGAGTCACCAGAGGTGGAGCTGAGCTCTGTAGTAATTACTCCAGCTCCTACCAAGCATGGGGAAGCCCTCTCTCCATTCTCAAAGTTAAATCTCACGTTCTCTTGGCTGGTTCCTTTCCTGCTCCCACCTGTTTTCAACTTCCAAAAGAGCTGCAGGGCAGGCAGAAAGGAACAGACAGCAGTGACCAAGGGTGTGCATAGAGGAGATCCTCCACAGGGCCAGGGTTTTTTTTTTTTTTTTTTTTTTTTTTTTTTTGAGGTGGTTAAAAAGAGAGACAGAAGGCAGAGATCCTGGGCCCAGTACCAAAATAGTTTCCAGACATCCTTAGCCAGTGGAGTGCTCCCAAGAGGCAGAGCGTGGGAGCCCAAAAGCAGGACAGCCTGGTGCTCTCAGCACTGGGCACTCTTCAATCCAGGCAGCTCAGGGGAGGAGGTAGCAACAGGGTATTATGCTATGGCATGTTCCCCGAGATATCATAGGTAAATGACATGAAGCATAATATACAATAAACCAACAACTTGCACTCATCAGGCTCAGCTTTGTGACTGTGCCAGGCACTGTGTACACCCACACATCAGGATATTCCTGACAGCACTTAGCACACAAGAGACATAAGCATTATTTCTTCTGGCTGCTGGACACCATTCACCCCTGGGGCTTACCCCTCCTGCTCCCGTCCTGTGGGAACTTGTACGCACACGTACACCACACACACACACACACACACACACACACACACACACACACACACTTCCTTTACCCTTGACCATAAGAGCTCTTCTACCATGACCTGATAGTAGATTGGGCAAAACTCTCTCATTCCCCAACGGGACATCTGAGAAACTCCAATTTGCAGAAGAGACAAAGCCAAAAACAGGAGCTCGGACCTGAGTACTAGTGGCACCAAGGCTGAGAGGAAGCCATGGTTTTCAGGCAGGCAACTCAACATAAACAAGCACAAACACATGCTCACAACAGTAGGAATGACAGACCCTCCTGTGAACAGGGAAGGGGAAGACCTGTGGGTTTTCTTAACACTGGAGCTGGGGTACTAGGCTGGAAGCCTCTAAAAGATCCTCAGACCAGATCCCAGGGCAGCACAACAGTGGTAGAAGTTGAGAGTGCACTAGCAGAGTGCAAGGACGCAGGTCTGCCAAGGAGAGCCATCACCTCGTGGCAGGCAGGCAGGCAGGCAGGCAGGCAGGGGGCTTTAGAGAGTTCAGACAAGGATGTAGGTACAGAAGGAGGGAGCTTCCCCCTCTCTGAGCCCATCTGTCCCCATCCTTTGTCCTGCTTTCATCAGAGTCCGCCTCATAATCTTAACATCTCCAGTGCCCACACTTCTGAAACAGTGTACCCAGTGACTACAACTCCCCCAGCCAGCAGCGGGTGGCCAAAGGAAACGGAAGGTGGGAAACTGTGGGTTCTGGCTCCCAAGACAGCAAGAGCAAAAGTGAGCCAATGTGAGCTCACAGCTCTCAGCAGCGCATGCAAACAGTATCACTAACACTTCTACTTGCCTGAGGGTCTCTCCCAGTCCCTCCCAGGTGACTACCAACAACTCCCAGTTTCACCAAGGAATGCCAGAGAGCATGGGCTCTCTCTCATCCCTCAGAGAGCTGAGGTCACCTGGCTCTTCCTCCCTAAGAAACTGTTTCTAAAGCAAAATCCATGTCCTTCCCCAAACAATTCCTTGGAAAGAAGCCAGAGAATAACCCTAGCCTTCAGATCCACCTTGTAAGCTAGCCCAGGAACCCCCAACCCACACAGGAAGAAGCAGAGCCCCACCCTGTCAGTGTCACCACCCAGACAGTAAGGTGGCAGAGTGCCATTTCCAGCACCTCCTCAGAGCTTCCCCCAGCTTTCCCAGGAAGCAGGAGGTAGCTTTGCAGGAAAGACTACAAGCATGCTGGGACATTCACAGCTCGCCCACCTGCTACCTAAGCAACCAGGCTCCGGGTTTCCTCTATGCTAGGGAGAGCCCCACTGGGCTTGGCCTGCCCACCTTTCCCCAAACTCAACTCCCAGTCTCTGCTCTTGAGAGACATCCACACTGTTTTTTTCTGTCCCAGTCACCCCCATCTCCCAAGCCAAAGGATACTGCTGAGTAATCCCAAACTTAAGGTGGGCCCCAGCCCTGTAAACTGGGGCAAACTAGAAGGAAATCTACTGATCTGGTCCTTGCCAACCTAGGATTAGTCATGGCTTCTTAGTGATCAGATTCTCCATTCCCCCTACCAAATGCACCACCCCATCCTCTGAAAACCCACCTGGAATGGGCCAGAGCCCCTTTTTCTGCTTTCCCCACACCTGGGAACACTGCCTTCCCAGTCTCCCAGACACCAAGTGGCACAGAATAACAGCAGACACCCGCTGGCTTCCCAGCCATGATGTTGCATCAGCCCCCACCCTACCCAAAATATCCTCACCCCCACCACCTCCTCTCCTCTCTCCAGCCATCTCCATGGTGACAGCAGCATGACTAATGACACCCTATCAGCTTCAGACACAGGAGTGCAATTCTCCCTTCCCCCTTACTGTCTTTCACCCCCCCCTCCCCGCGACGCACCCCGGGGATTTCTGCAGATTGGATGCAAACCAACAGTGCCAGGGCCATTCTCCAGAGATTTCCAGAGGCAGGGGTGGGGAGTAGATTGCATGTCTAACACACACACACACACACACACAGAGGCACACACACACACAGGCACGCACACACGCACGCGCGCGCTCGTGCGCGTACACACACACACACACACACAGTTCAACAAACCAAACCCCAACTGCACCCAAACCATCCAGCTGAGAAAGCAAAAAGAATCCAAACAAAACCCACACAGGCCTGAGAATTCATTGGCCGCCCACACTCCCGCCGCCCCTCCCCCTCGGCTGCTGCTTCACACACACAAACAAACACACCACACCACACCCACACCAAAC